CAAAGTTACCAACAACTAGTGTCTCGTAATCAATATCTTTAGATTCACAAATGTCCAAAAATGAAAGGAAATGAGCTTCTGCTAAATCTCGATTTATGATAGTACCATCAAAACGATCTGTTTTAGTATCCTTATCCATAGTGAAAAGAAGAAAAACAATGAAGGACAACTGCAATCCAAATAACAGAATCATCTAACCTTTAACTTTAAAAGTAATGAAACAAAACATTATGAAACTTTGCAGAGAATTCCAACTCTGATGCCAAAACACACAGATAAGATAAACAACGGAATATTACGAAAACCTGAAAAACAAAAATATGATTAGTACAGATATAGATGATAATTAATAAGAATAGCAATCCACTCTCACACTCAAACGAACCCAAAAAAAAATCTAATTTTCACTTTGTCTTTAGAAAAAAAAATAAATGTCAATGAGTCAGATATTGTCTATATTTATAGTTTCTGAACCGCTTTTACTTCCATCTAAACTGTTTATTAAACTTTAAAGTTGTTATTTTGACACAGGTCACCAAATATTAACCACCACACAGTCACAAAGATGTTCAATGTCAAATTCTTCTGTCAAATTCTTCACTTCGACACTTGTAGGCTACTTCAGTTCAACTTGAAAATTTAAAATATTGTCTCAATTCCACTTTATCTAACCAATCAATATTTTTAAAGTTTACATTCGATGATACACAGAGTCTGGCTATTGTCATTAACTGCACTGAGTCTTAGATCAGTTAAAATCACCAAAATCCATACTCTAGTATAACCATTTTCACTTCTAAGAAACTAGATAAGCCCATTCAAAATCATACAAAAATTCACAAGGCATAAAAAATCGTCAATAGTAGATCTGTTTAGGCATCTCCACCATGTTTTGTTGGGGTTTCCATCCTAGATGGATTTGGATTGTTCTTATAATCAAAACTAGAATCTAAGTTTCAGCCATGCTTTATTCAATCTCTAAGCTCTTACATCATGCCTTCAACTCACAAAAGTACATATCCTGTCACATGACAAACATCTACCTTAAGAGCAGACAACTCTGTTTTACTGAGAAGGAAAATATGGGAGATAACTCTTACTTAACAATGATTTTTAAGACCACAATATGAACTAATGATATCAATATGACACTTCAGACATTCTATCTATATAATAATTTGGTAAGTTGGTTTGTTTTAATTTTGTTTATGAATCCCTCACTTTGGCCCATATTTCAAGAGTAACCAACTCGACAACGGCTACCAAATGCGTCATCTATTTTCGTGTACAATGTTTAATCTATAAATAAGGCAAGAAAAACACGTTGAATGGATACCCAGTGGTATAATTATCATATCTTTAATGATATTCCATTATAACTAATGACCATTTACGAAAGCGTATTTGGGCCATCCAATTTTTTTTTTTTTTTTATTTTTTTTGAATCTTGACTTTTCAAGTTAGTATGTTGAATTTTCAAGTTAGTAACTTGAATTTTCAAGTTAGTATGTTTAATTTTCAAGTAACTAAATTCAAGATACTAACTTGAAAATTCAAGATATTAACTTGAAAATTCAAGATACTAGCTTGAAAATTCAAGATACTAACTTGAAAATTCAAGATACTAACTTGAAAATTCAACATACTAACTTGAAAATTCAAGTTACTAACTTGAAAATTCGAGTTACCAACTTGAAAATTCAACATACTAACTTGAAAATTCAACTTAAAAAATTCAACATACTAACTTGAAAATTCAACATACTAACTTGAATTTTCAAGTTAGTATGTTGAATTTTCAAGTAACTAAATTCAAGATACTAACTTGAAATTCAAGATACTAATTTGAAAATTCAAGATACTAACTTGAAAATTCAACATACTAACTTGAAAATTCAACATACTAACTTGAAAATTCAAAAAAAAAAAATATGAATGGCCCTAATACGCTTCCGTAACAATTCCTTCATAGAACAATTTTTTTTAAATATTGACTCACAAAATAAGATAATTCAAACGTAAGAATAATTTATTGCTAAAATTCAAATTGTGTTCAATAGAATTTTTCTGCTGACATGGACTCCACTAGTTTGTCACATGACTTTGTTCCCTTGGAATTCCGATCACAGCTGGGGATTATAAGGAAATTTGGTCAATAAAAATAATTGTGATATTTGGCAATAATTGAAATCCGCCATTTTGCATATGTCAAAAACAGATAATAATTTGACATTGCTTTAAAATGATAGGAAAAATGCTGCAGGTTGACGTTGTAGAGATAACAGTAGCCTACAGAAAAAAAAATACAGAAAACCGATTGTTTATCAAAGAATGTTCATTTTCAGTACAAATTATGATTTTTGTATACAAATCTCAATCTTCAATGACAAATGGTGAATTAAGCGTGCAAATTAAGAGATTAGAATTTAGAATTAAGAATTAAGAATCAAGAATCAAGAATCAAGAATCAAGAATAAAGAACATTGAATAAAAAGCCATTCCGCCTTCCATACAAAACGTCAAACTCAAAACTCTACCAACAAATAAAAATATTTGATAGTACAGTAATAATTACCAGTATGAAATATTCAAACCTTCAGACAAAATCTGTCAAGAACTGGGCCTTCTAGAGTGTTTACAGTCTAAAACTTGAATGCGTTTTTAAAAACAAGGGCAATAACTCATACTAAATATTTTTCGACTTTTCTGATTTTAGATAGGGTTCATCCTTGGGTGATTACATACACTCACACCAGGTTTCGTCAAAATCCATCAAGAATTGTGCCTTCTAGAGTGTTTACGTGCTAAAAATTGAACGCGTTTCTGTGTAATTTTCTAAAAATTTTAAAAATATATACTTATATGATTACTAGATCCACAAGCTTTAATCTTTAAATGCTATAAATAAAAGTAACCGGCAATAGACATTCTCAAAGTTCTTGGAAACCGAAAATAATTATTAACACACACAAGAACCGAAAATTCTTTTTGGGATTTCGCAAACTAACTACCTGTTTGGAGGAACTTCTATCTCTACTTCGTAGAACTTAAGTCTTGTAATTGATAATTGAACAAAGCTGCCAGTGGGCGTATATTACCTTGCCTGGAAAGCTATCTCAAGAACAATGGCAATAACTCATACTAATCATATTTGGATTCTTATGATTTTCAATAGGGTTCATCTTTGGGTGATTACAATCACTCACACCAAGTTTCGTCAAAATCCGTCAAGAATTGCACCTTCTTGAGTGTCTACGAGCATTTCAAGAACAAGGGCAATAACTCATACTAAATATTTTTCGATTTTTCTGATTTTCAATGGGCTTCATCCTTGGGTGATTACAATCAGTCATACCAAGTTTCGTCAAAATCAGTCAAGAATTCAGCCTTCTAAAGTGTTTACGAGCAATTGTGAACGGACGGACGTATAAAAATGGGAAAAGCAATGAATTATAAACGAAGTAAAAACTTGTATATATATATTACAATACCAATCATTGGCAATTTAAGTTTATAACTTTGTGTTGTCTATCTTATTGGGCTCATTCTCATCTGGACTACTTCCCATATGAGCTAATATATTCCCGTTAGGATTACTGGTTCGAGCTACCTGTTATTGGTTCTTATTTTCTTTCTAGTTTGAGTTACTGAATGGGAGAAACAAAATGAGAAGCAGTATGCTTATTTACGTATTGCTTATCAACATTTTATCTACAGTGGCTCAAGTACCATAAGAACTAGTTACAAGTGGACGAGGGTCCAACCCCAGACACTGTATCAAATAGGGCATCCTATTTCTGAAAACTGGGTTGAAAAAAAAATACTGATGGGAACAGAAATTTTTTTTTCGAATTCAATTTGTTTATGCCCGTTTGAATTGTTTGAAAATTTGAAAATCTATATCGTATGACCTTGACTTTCAATGATCTTGAATTTTTTCGTGTAGAATGTCCTTCATCTCAGCTATCTATAGCTAATATTGGATGAAAAACTTTCGCCATGTAAAAAATGAATCTATTTAATTTGATCTAAAAGTAATTCAAATAAGACGTTTCGTATAATAAGCTGTTATAACATAGACATTTTATAAAATTTATTTGATATTCACACACTTTTGTATCTTTACAATGAAGTGTTTTTTGTTACCTAAAAATTGATAACACCCTTCACAAATAACAAACGGAAAATCTATACATCATGAGGAAGTTAATCTATTTTCTTAACCTTTAACAGACTGGAAATACCCGTTAAGATAAAAATCATCTCCTATTCTAAACATAAGCCTCATAAGTAGGCAGTGATGTTTTTTAACATTTTGAAAAAAGGGGTTTTCCCTAACTAGTCTCAATCTATCATTATAACCTACAAGTCTTAATTTATCATTTATATCCTACTAGTCTCGATCTATCATTATATCCTACTAGTCTCAATCTATCATTATATCCTCTTACCACTCTCAATCTATCATTATATCATATTAGTCTCAATCTATCATTATATCCTACTAGACTCAATCTATCGTTATATCTTACTAGTCTCAATCTATCATTATATCTAACTAGAG